TCGACCGGGCCGGTCGACCGATTTCTGATATTTTCCAGAAAACAGGTTTTTGACCAACTTGAAATATTTGCAAGATATTCATTTGACCTCTGAAAATTCTGAAACTTTGTAAAATGTTTTTAATACTAAAAACAAACTGTTTGGAAAAAGAATTTTGCAGATAGGTACTCATACTTGTGAAAAATAGTGTTTTGTGAAAAAACGCTTAAAAGACACAAGTCTAAAAACGTGTGTATGATTCCCAATAGCTTCAAGTAAACTCAGTAACTCTTTGCCTACATTCTAGCACTAGAGAGAAAAATAAAAGAAAGCTAATATCCTCATATAAAGAGCAATATACTTGAGCTTTGATATAGCTTGAATCGGATGAAGCTTTTGATTGAATTTGTCGTTCTTGAAATAATGTTGCTTCATCTCTTGGCCTCCTCCTCCTTTGGATATCTTCGTTGTAGCGTATATTCCATCCATCCTCCGTTAATGGCACTAACGAGCTTGACAAATGATTTTACTATATTTACACTCAATAAGCCATTAGTACCGATAATGGTGGTTGTAAGAACATCATCAAAACATGAGGGCTAACAGAATGATTGATCTTACTCAATAAAAAATAAAACAGAAAGAATAAAAGATAATATTTTCTGAATATTTTACAAAATAGCCTAAATTTTTGAGTAAAATTAGGAATATTTTAAAGAGATTTTCATGAAATTTTTAGTATTTTTATATACTTATTTTGTGCATATTTTTATTATATAAAATGATACTAGAGTTAGCATTAATATTTAGTTTATTGTTTTTAATGTAGTCTATTAATGATTAGGGATAAAATACATATTCTCTTTTGTACCATTTTAGCCACTTCTAATAAATCATCTAGGCTTATTGGTTTTAATTATTCATATTGCTTTTATAATGCTTTTTTTCTAGTTTTTTTACTTTTGCAATACTATATTTCCTTAGGTAAGGCTTAGTTTCTTATTGATATAAATAATATGAATATTCAAATTGGCTTCACATTGGTTTCGTGTTAATTCAATTATCAAAATGAAACTTTAAGTTGTGTGTGTTTGGGGTGAAAGTTGATATTTTCATTGATGTATTCATCACAACTTCAATCGTTACAATGAAAACAAAACAAAAAAGATAGTCTTTTATAAGACTCTTACATAATGAAAAATAAAAAATTACAACTCTCGTCAAAACAAACACAATGAGCGTTTATCACCCGCTGTTTGCGTAGGATCTTTGCCGGGGACATTAATATCCGTGGACTACCAAGCGATCAGATTGATCCAGAGTTTTGTTGATTCGCAAAGGAATTAAGAAACTGAAGCAATTATCGCAGTAACAGCGAGATAACCACTCTTCTCGAGATCGTAGCTAGATACGATCTCAAGGAAAGGAACCGGGCTATGGATCTGACGAACTCTCCTTCTTTATGACGAAGAACTAGGTCTGATCTTCTCCTCCTCTCTGAAATTCATGCTCCTCAGACTCTGATTCAGCAGGGCTTCACCAAGGCTCGAAAATCCAGATCTGTGTAAATGAAGGCCCTAGGGCTGTATTTATATGCTTCGGGACCTCCGTTTTCGAATAAGAACAGTCGATTCACTCTTATTCTTAGTTATAACCACTTTATCACGTTCTAGGATAACATTAGATCCGTTGGAACAAATCCAGACGGTTAACGGTCGAAAAACGGCTCAAAATAACGTTTTTGGGTCTGCGGACACCCGCGGTGTCTCTGCCAAGGCCGAGACACTCTTATGCCAGTAATTACTTCTCTTTTTTCTACTAATAAAGTAATTAATCAATTAAATCGAGCACTTGTAACGCGCAAGGACCTCGTGGTTGTCCTCTAGGCGATTTTTTTTTCTTTTTCTCTTGGATTTATTTCTTGCCTGGTATAATGTATGCTTCCTCATAGCAGAAAGGTTTGACGTGTTTCAACAAAAAGGGGGAAAGATGCGAGTGATAAAATTTGTGTTTGACATCGTGTTCTAAATTTATTTTGGATTCTAATTTCTCTTTGAGTAATAAAAGATTTTTAACCATCCTCATTTTTCTGTTTAAAAAAAATGACTTTTTTTATAAATGTAAGAAGTATGAACCTCTTTAATAATTGCGTCGTGATAAATTTGTGTTTGCCATCATGTTCCAAATTTATTGAGGATTCTGATTTTCATATAAGTAATAGCGATTTTTAACCATCGTAATTTTCTGTTGTAAAAATATAACCTATATTAACTATTTTAATAAATGTTGTGCTTTTATCTATAGATTTCTTCTACAAAAAAAATTTTGTGCTTATATTTGATAGATTAGTGGTCCGTTTCATATTGTCTCCATTGAGGCCTCTTTATTAGATCAAACGTCTTAATCATGAATGCCACCGTTCAAATTTTCTCATGAAAGGGATAATAAATTTTCAAACGTCTTAATCTTGAATTAAGCTTTTATGACCTAGATAGTGATATTCATCATCTTCTCTCTATCTCGAGTCGCGTGCCGTGGGCAATTTTTAACGCTTACAGATACCCCCTCCAAAGTGTTCCAGTCTCGTTTCTTTTATAGAAGAGCCTAAAATATTTTGGATGTGATCGGTCCAACCTTTAGTCGGTGAGAAAGGACCTGTAGTTGGCTTCGATTCTTGACTTCTTCGATTTTTGGTCAATTTAATATTTTGACGAATAACTAAAATTTCTCTAGCGCTGCGTTTATCGTCTGGCCGTCGTCGAAATCTCGAATCGACATTGGTGAGTTGGTTTAGGCTCGTGTCATTGAGTTGACTTTCAACTATCTCCGTCGCAATGCGTTGATCGGTATTGACTCAGAACTACGTGTTGACCGGCGTTGACCTAAGGCTAGGCGTTGACCAGTGTTGACCTTAGGGTTTCGCATCGATTGACGTTGACTTTTATCGCAACGCGTTGACTGGCGTTGACCTAGGGCTAGGCGTTGACCTTAGAGTTTCACATCGATCAGTGTCAACTTTCATCACAACGCATTGACTGGCGTTGACCTAGGGCTACGCATCGATCGGCATTAACCTTAGGGTTTCGCATCGACCAATGTTGACTTTCATCGCAACGCATTAACCTAGGATTACATGTTGACTGGCATTGGCCTTAGGGTTTCGCATCGATCGACGTTGACTTTCATCGCAACGCGTTGACTGATGTTGACATAGGGTTATGCATTGACCGTCGTTGACCTTAGGGTTTCACATCGATCGACGTTGACTTTCATCACAATGCGTTGACTGGCGTTGACCTAGGGCTACGCATTGACCGGTGTTGACCTTAGGGTTTTGTGTTGGCTGGCGTTGACTTTCATCATAACACGTTGATTGGCGTTGGTCTATGGCTACGCGTTGACCGATGTTGACCTTAGGGTTTTGCATTGATCAGCGTTGACTTTCATCACAACGCGTTAATCGGCATTGACCTTAGGGTTTCGCATCGATCGGTGTTGACTTTCATCGCAACACGTTAATCGACGTTGACCTAGTGTTACGCGTTGACTAGTGTTGATCTTAGGGTTTCGCATCGATCGGCGTTGACTTTCATCACAATGCGTTGACTGGTGTTGGCCTAGGGCTACGCGTTGACCGGCGTTGACCTTAGAGTTTTGCGTCGATCGGCGTTGACTTTCATCGTAATGCGTTGACTGGCGTTGACCTAGGACTACACATTGACTGGTGCTG